CTCTGTGTGTGTGTGTGTGTGTGTGTGTGTGTGTGTGTGTGTGAAGGTCAGAGGACAATTTGTGAGAGTCAGTTCTTTCCTTCAATAATGTGGGTCTCAGGATCAAGCACAGGTCATCAAGCTTGGTAGGAAGTGCTTTTGCCCACTGAGTGATCTCTCCAGACTCCTAGACTTAGTAGACACAGAACTACCCTCCTCTCAAGAGGAAGTTCATGAATGCGCAACTAAATAAAGCCAGTCACACACAAACCCATGAAACAGAAGCCAGGTGTGCTGGCACACTTTGAGGTCGAGTCAGACAGATCAGGACTTCAAAACCTACCTCAGCTGCATTCAGAGATCCAAGCCAGCCTGAACTACGTGATAATGAAACCCAGTGCAGAGATCAGAATACACCCTACTCTATGTTATTCCGCATTGGATCAACTGGTTTTACAGGCTGTGCACTGTAATTTTACAAGCAGCTTTTAACTCCATTTTGAAGAAGGACGGCTGCAGCTCCTGGGCGGCTCCATCAACTGTATCCATCACCTTTCAGGCCCAAACTATCCAGTACAGACTGATATATGACTTATTCTGAGAAACAGATAGACAGCCATCCTATAAGTTTATTGAGGAAACCTAAAACTGTGGGGGCACATGGGTGTATTAAAATCATATCAGGGAACCAAGCCTAAGAACTTATCAGACACATCAGACTGTGGAAAGCATAATTCCCTCACCTAGACCCTCTAAAGTGATGGGCACCTAACACTGCCATGGCATGGCTGCATGCTAACCTATCATCAAAGGCCAATGACTCCCTGACTCCACTTGGTCCTTCACTGTTGATGGTGCCTACTCAACTGCTTGCCCATCTACCTGTTCACCCATCTAGACCTGGATCAGCTCCTGACCCACTTCCTGCTTTGTTTCCTGCTCTGGACCCGTTTGACCTTTTCACCTCTTGGCTGAATTCTGTAGCTTCGCTCCCAATGCTGACCATCCAGCAGCTCTACCAGCAGCTCCCTCATGGCACTGGTCTGTTTCGTTATCTTATCTATCAGACTTTTTCAGCCCACTCTGAAACCTCTTCAACTTTGCTGCAGCCTCTTCAACTTGTATTTCTTCTGTGACCCATATATGCATATAGAGATATACAGATATATTTACTGTGTACTATATGATATGAGAATTAATATCAGTAATTAAGATTGGCATAGAGAGGCATGGAGAGATAGCTCGGCAGTTAAGAGCACTTGTTCTTGCAGAGGATCCAACGGTTTTCAACACCCATATCAGGCAGTCCACAACCACCTGTAACTCCAGTTCCAATGGATCTGACTCTTCTTCTGGCTTCCAGGAGCACCTGCACTCACACATGCACATCCTCATACACATAATTAAAAATAAATCAGCCCAGGTGGTGGTGGCAGATGCCTTTAATCCCAGCACTCGGAAGGCAAAAACAGGCAGATCTCTGTGAGTTCGAGGCCAGCCTGGTCTACAGAGTGAGTTCCAGAAGAGCCAGGGCTGTTTCATAGAGAAACCCTGTCTCAAAATAATAATAATAAATAAAATCTTAAAAAGAAAAGACTAGAATAAATAAAAGAAACTTGCATTCACCTCAGCCAAGCCACCAAAGTAGGCATAAGTAAATTTCATGATGGATTTCTGCCATTGATACCACTAAATCTTGCTATTCAATAAATGCTAACATTGTGGAAAGATACAAATATGTTCATTTAGGTTTCTGGCACAGCACACACATGGAACACTGGCTCAAACGGGCAAAAAGGAAACAAGGAAAGAGGGAGCCATTTTCAATGTAGGTCCATGAACTCAAAAAACCCTGGAATTCGCATCAGTGCTCTCAAGAGAACTTTAGCAGGGACAGGACAAACGTGGTATAGCACCCATTATCATTTGCTCTCTGGGACACTGCTCAGTGGGTTATTTTGTGTACAACCAATACTCTTCGAAAGGACCTTGAATGGGGAGAGATTGAATGCCTCAAGTGACAGGTCAGCAAGAGCAGATGACTGGGTGAGAGGGTAGCTGGAAAACTGCTGAAAAGGGTACAGTTGAGCATGCTCTAAGGGACAGGTCCTGGCATGGCCATATGAACCACCCCTAGTGGCTTATAAAAATCAAAACTCTGGGATACTTACTCAGTATGGAATTTTCAGTTGTGAAAACGGTTCGTCTTAATCCCAGTCTCATTGTTCCTCCCAAATCACCAGGGTTGTGTTCGGGCATGTCAATTACCTTTAACAAAACACATCCAGTTTTACCATCTTGCGAGAATGTAGTTTCCCATATTTTCAGCTTTAATTTTAGAGGAACAGTTGTCGGGAAAATATTCCCTCAAGTACCTTGTCTGATCAGTTCTTCCAGGACTCCTGATAAAAATCAGCCACCTGTCACATCCTTCCCGAACTGTATAAACCTCTTACCACAAGTTCTCATCTTTCACTCAAGTTATTTACAAAATATTATATCAGGGGTGAGTATGTGGCTTGGTTAGTAGAATTCTTATCTAGCATGTATGAAGCCCTGGGTTTGATCCCTAGAACTTCATAACAGAATGGTGGCGCACACCTGTAATCCCAGTGCTAGGGAGGCAGAGGCAAGGGAATCTCTGTGAGTTCGAGGCCAGCTCTGGCTACATAGTAAGACACTGAGAAAGAAATAGAGGGAGGGAGGGAAAGAAAGAGGACTGATATAGTTCCACTAGTGGAGCACTTGCCCAGCATGCACAAAGACCTGGATTTGATTTCCAGTACCTCATAAACCAGACATGGTGGTAAACACCTACAATCTAATCCCAGCACTAGGGAAGAAGAGGCAGGAGGATCAGAAGTTCAAGATCATCTTTGGCTGCATAATGAATTCCAAGCCACCCTGGGATACATGAGACCCACCTCAAAAGAGTAAAAACAGCCAGGCGGTGGTGGCATACACCTTTAATCCCAGCACTCAGGAGGCAGAGCCAGGCAGATCTCTGTGAGTTCAAGGCCAGCCTGGTCTACAGAGCGAGATCCAAGACAGGCACCAAAACTACACAGAGAAACCCTGTCTCCAAAAAAGAAAAGAAAAAACAATGAGAGGAGACCTTGAAAGATAATTCAGATGATTAAAGTGCCTTCCATGCAAGCATGAGGACTTGAGTTAAGAGCCCTAGTACCCAATAAAAGTCAGATGTGGTTGCTCACATGTACATATGTATAACCCCAGTGATCTCACAGCCAGCCAGTTTATGCAAATCAATTAGCTCAAAGTTCAGTGAGTAACCGTGTCTCAAAAAAATAAAAGAACCCTTGAGAAAAATACCAGACATCAATCTCTGTCCTTCACATGCTGTATGCATATGTGCATACAGCTACACAAACACATATACATACCAAACACACACATACACACACTCTCTCCCTCTCTTCTCCTGTCCTTTCTCTATTCTTATACATCCTGTGAGTCAAAAACCTAGCAATGCTGCCGACCTCTCCCTCTTCTTCATATCTAATCTGTCAAGTCCCATTAATTAACCCCTCTGGACCACCTTGTCCTAAATGAAACCCTTGTAAACTCTGAGCTATCTGGGTAGCTCAGCCACCCAGTATCAAGGAGCCCTGGCCTCTGGCTGGGGCCTTCCCTTGCACAAGGCCTTTTCTCCTCACTGGGCTGCTCTCAGCTGTCTGCTGCGTGCTTCTGTATGAGAAGGGCGGTTGTTATGTTTCCTTACCAGTGGGCCTTTCCAACCAGTAGAAAAGAACTGAAGGAACAAGCTGAATGAAGGAACAAGCTGAATGAAGGAACAAGCTGAATGAACAAACCCCAAGAGAACAATTTCAGATTTGCTGAGTCACACCACAAAAACTCAGAAAGATGTCTATGAATAAAATCTGTTTTCATTAGCCTAGTAATTCCTTTTCTTCAGTTCTGTTCACTATGATTCATTGTTTTGTTTCATGTTTTTTGGTTAGTTTTGGTTTGGTTTTTGGTGTTTTGAGACATGGTCTCAATATGTAGTTCTGGCTGTCCTGGAACTTACTATATAGAACAGGCTGGCTTAAACTCATAGAAATTGGCCTGGCTCTGCCTCTTGAATGCTGGGATTAAAGGCCTGTGCCACCACACCCAGCAATGTTTTTGCTGTTGTTGTTGTTGTTGTTGTTGTTGTTGTTGTTGTTTAAGATGTTAGATCAGAGTGTAGTTGGCTAAAGTCAACCTGTTGTAATAAAATTGCTCAGGTTTCTCATAGAAGATTGCTTACACTCCCACACATGCCCTGAAAGTCACATACAGCTCTAAAGGAATCCTTGACAACTGGAATTTCCTAAAGGATGATTTTCTAAGAAAATATCTGATTTTATTAGTGCCCCAGAAAATGTGTGGAGCCCACTGAACCCTGGGACCCAAGCAAACTCCAAGAGTCACTGAGGGGAAGGGCTGGGGAAAAATGGATTCTACTTCCTGCTGGAAGTCGTGCTTGATTTCTGAATTGCCTTAACTCCTAGCATGTCCTCCCTATCTTCTTTGGCTGGCAAGTGAGGCTAGAGTGTTACTCAGTGAAGCGAGAGAAGGCAGCCTCCAGCTTAGGAAGCCAAGCTACTTAGAAATGCCCGCTCCTTGTGTGCCTTTTCTAAGAAAAGGTAGGTAAGTTCACAAGAGCTGCCACAGACTGCTAAGAAGTTCTATGTCTAGTCAGAGCCTCGGCTTCCATTTAGGTTCCATTCAAGTTCCAAATATGGTGATAAACTCCCCTGGGTTCCTGTCAGAGGTGCACTACAAATCTTCAGGCAGTTCATCTTTATTTACTATATAGGGTCCGACTAGCTAGAGTCTTTGAAGGTAAACTGCTTCAATTATCAGTGACTATGGTAATCAAGAAATATATTGGTCTGAACTATTGAAAACAGAGTAAAAAACAATTAAGAACAGAATGGGAGAACGCCAGAGAGAGAGGTCAGCAATTAAGAGCATGTGTTGGTTACTCTTGCAAAGGACCCAGGTTCTGTTCCCAGCATGCAAGATTTGCTGGGTTTGAGCCCCAGCACCACATAAACCAGGGCATGGCTGTGATACATAGCAAGTTCTACACCTGCCTGAGCTACATGAGACTCTTGTCTCAAAAGAGATAAAATGAGGGGGGGGGAGAGATGGCAAGTGATGGCCTCTCAGGTTATACAAGCAACCTAATTAGGCAACAAACAGACCCAAAAAGCCTAAGAGAAGAGAGCAACATGGTTTGAAAGCATGCTAATTTTATCACTGTCAAGTGGTTAGTGAACCCCAAGTGCCTTTATATTTATCCCCAACATTTCAGTTTTTGCATCTGAAAGGAAAAAGCTTCTTACTTTGCAAAACTATTTCCTTGGCCCCACCATTGGCTGGGATCTGACCCCCACATTCTGTCCTTTCTTGAAACAGAGCCATATAGCATACAAAAAAAATTTTTTTAAAGATCAATAAGTTATAAAGCTTTGAGAGATGTAAAGGCACCGCACAAGGATAACAAAGGCACTAATTAACCTTGACTGAGATATTCTGCAACCTCGATAAAAGTGTAATGAGTTCAAGTCCTTCAGCGTCCCAGGGTACCTTAAACCAAGTGTATGGAAGTCCGAGTCTCTTATCAATGATGAAATTCCTTAATGGCAGTGTGCATGGGGCCTCCCTGACTGCATCCTGGGAACTGGTTCCTTATCTCAATATGTCACTTGGACAAAACCGGAACATCTACTCCCAGAAGACCCTTTCCACCTCCCTCCTCCTCTTCCTCATTAAAAAAAATACATTTATTTAGAGTGTTGTTGTGTGTGTATGAGAGAGGGTGCTTGTGTGCCACAGAGGGTGTGTAGAGGCTGGAGGCCAACTTTCAGGAGCTGTTCTCTCCTTCCGCCATGTAACTACCAGGGACAGGACTCAGGTCATCAGGCTTGGCAGCAAGCACCTTTATCCGCTGAGCCATTTTGTCAGCCCTTTGCTTTTGTTGTTGTCTCCCTTTATACAGGACTAGTAATTAAACCTAGAGTTTCATACGCGGTAGGTAAACACTCTACCTCTGAGCTATATCCCCAGCCCCGTTTCTAGTGATTTGCCCAGACTTTCTAGTGTGTTCCTCAAGTCCTCTTTACAAAGATCCCCCAATCTGTTCTCTCCTACTGTCCACTGGGTTCTTGGGGTTCTCGCTCCCTTTTTTTAAGCCTTACTCTAATTTGGATTCTCTGTGAGTCATGTTGAAGATGTGCATAGAATTATGAACCAACTTGACGTCATTAGTAAGTTACCCAACGCTGTCCTGCTACTTGCTCCAGCAGTCTCTGTCACCGCAAATCAAAGGAACCCTCTTGAGTGGCCCTCAGGTCTCACCTCATGCATGACCTAGCAAGCTGGACTTTCCTGATAGATTCAAACCTGCACTTTCTACTCAGCTAGGCAAGTCCAATGCCAATGGCCCCTCCACTCCCTGTTCCCCCACCACACTCCCATGCACAGACCACTTCTTCATTCCATTTCTAAAGAGGCCTTCTCCCTACTTCATCAAAGAGCCCATGATTTGAGACATGCTCCAATTCTCCTTATTGCCCTATAATGAATATGCTCTCCTTAGCAAATAAATCATCTACATATTGTTCATTCATTTCCCACACTCCTCCAAAGATGTTCACATTCTAGTTCTTAGCCCCTAAGAACATGTGGACCTTTTGTGACATTCGAATTTACAAATGGGATTATGTTAAAGTTCCTGGAGGTGGGAGGGGGCTTTCTTGCTATGTCATGATCAGACAGAAGGCATCACATAGGCTGGAGAGAGGAGAGGCGGGATGAAGTCATAAGGAATTCACCCCTGGCACAGATGTTTCTTCGGGGTTATGAGGATAAACCCGCATAATCATGTGGGCCCTTGAGAGAGGAAGGAAGGTCAGAATCAGAGATGAAATGATAGCAAAGCAGACATTTCAGACAGACTGGATGATGCCAAGCTTCTGACTTTCAGGATGGAGAGTGTATCCATGAACAAGCAGCCTCCAGAAGGTGAAAACCTAAGCAGTCTCTCCTGTATCTTCAGAAGGAACATGTCCTGTCAACCCATTTTAAACTTCTGGCCTACAAAAGGGAGCAAGTTGTCCCAGGTACTGTGTTGGTGAGAACTTAACAAAGCAGCAACAGGAAATCCATTGCTGTCCCAAAGGGAACAGTATCCATTTCATAGTGTTGCTACAATGATTTCAGGGGGCTATAGAAGTTGAGTGCCTGTCGTATAAAAACAAACCACAACCAAAGCCCTCAGTAAGCATTGGCTCCTATGCGGACGCCTCTGGGAACTCAGAACTGAAAACTAGCACAGACAGGAGATACACACTCCAGGCCAAGGCTGGAAGGAGAAAAGAAAATGAACTCTGATGGTCCAGGGAGGGCAGGCACCACATAAAGGCCAAGGAAGGGGGACAGGTATGATGTCACTTTTAAGGACAACTAAAATTAAGTTATCCTTTTAAATAACTAAAATTAAGTTCCTTAGAAAGGATGAGTTCAGGGTATTTTAAATTACAAAGTAAAAAAGATAACATACAATAGCATTTCATATCCACCTTGTTTTGTGGGGACTTGGTCATTAGTAACACTAATACAATTAGTAATACAAAAGGATTTTTTAAGACAAGGTCTCATGTAGCCCAGGTTGGCCTCAAACTCCCTATATGTAGCAGAGGAGGACCTTAAACTTCTGATTCCCTTTCTCCACCTCCCAAGTGCTAGGATTCCAGGCGTGCACCACAGAGGCCGAAAGTCATTGAGGCTACACATCCCTCATTTCAAGGGAAGGAAGACCTCTGCTTAAAATGGCCCAGCGCTGCCTGTCAGAACTCAGGCTCGGAGCAAACGCTAACAGAACTGGAAAAATACCCTGGGCTGCTTCTCAGATTTACGTGCTCATCGCCTCTAGTGTTCTCTCGCGTGTCTTATTTTTACCTTTATCTTAGCACAAGGGTAACCCAGCAGTCAGAAACAAAAATCCACTAATAGTCTCATGAAACATTAACTAACAATGTATGGAAACATGCCATAAATGCAGGGTGTGTTCAAAGAGTGTGTTTTGAAATGAGAAAGGGGAAAGAATGACAGGTACAAGGCTGGTAATGGAAAAATGGAGAGGCAAAGGTTAGGCAACACCTCTCTGCTCAGTTGCTTGATCTTTGGACAGACTTCATTTTTTTTACCCCCTCAGGAAGACTCTCGGCACCTGCGGCTTCTGTGACCATGTTACTCTGCTCAGAATCAATAGCATGGAATGCTTGAAGGAAAAAATCCTGTGGGCTGGGAATGTAGCTCAGTGGGTAGAGTACTTGCTTAGTTAGCGTGCATGAAACCCTGGCTTCCATCCCCAACACCACATAAACTAGACATGGCCTAGACTACTTTAAACCTGATCCTTAGAATTCATGTATTATGTATTTGTTATACTTTTACACATCATATGTGCCCCATGATATGAAGTAAGTACAGTATATAAAACATCTGTTCTAGAATCTACTGATATTTGGATTATATGTAGTAATTAAAATCATTTTTCAATATAGCCACAAGAAATATGACACCAACTCCCATCAGTTTTAGCTCCAAAATGATCATTTGAGAAAACAATTGAGGAGATTGAAATATGCTGTGATAACACCACTGAGGTTCTATCGAAAAAAGTTCTTGTCCTTAGGAGACACAGGCTAAGGTAGTTGCAGGAAACCAGTGAGACTCCACAACTTCTTCTCAAATGATTGATGAGAAGGAAAGAATTGGCCCAGAGGAGGGGAAAGCACATGTGGAAATGTTAGCAGGTAGAGTCTAATCAAGAGGTACACTTCTGTATTATGCCTGCCACTTTGCTTTAGATAGAAAATAAAACAGAACAACAAACCTTAAAGATGTTAGAGTGAGGCGACCAACCAGGAGGAATGAGATAGGAGGACCAGGAAGGAGTTCAAGGGTAGCCTGAACTACACTGTGAGTTGGGCTACACAAGGAGATCCTGTCTCAACAACCAATGGCAACAAAGAAAGACATTGGAAGAAAAACTATAGTCCTTACTACGATTAGTCACAAAAGCTCACTTCCTCCCAGGAAACTAGAACTTACATGTAAAACAAGCAAACAAAAACACTGGAAATTTGCTAAAACCTTTAAAAAACCGTAGCCAAAATCAGAGTATTACCATATAAAATCATCAACTAAAAACCATACAAGCTGGCCATGGGAGCCCACACCCGCAGTCCCAGCACAGCTGAGGCAGAGGCAGAAGGACCAGGAATTCAAGGTTCTCCTTGGCCAGGCTGGGCCTCCTGAGAGCCCCTGGCTCCAAAAATCAACCAATCATGAGTTTGGAGATATAAGTAAGTGCTCAGAGCGCAAGAGCACTTGAGCACAAGCGCAAGGAACTGAATTTACACCCCAACACCCATGTAATAAATAGGTCAGGCCTGGCTGTGTGCCTGTAACCCCAGCACTATGGGGGTGGAGAGCAGAGAAGGGGTTCACTGGGCTTGCTGGCTACCAACCTAGCTCAGGTTCCATGACAAACCCTATCTCGAGGGAACAGGGTGGAAGACTAATAGACCAGGACACCTGACACCCTACACAACTGTACACACATGTGTACACATGTGTACACCACACTCATACACACACACACACACACACACACACACACACTAGATAGACCTACCTACCTACCTACCGACAGGCTAACCTACAATGCCAGTAACTCCAATAAGTGGGTTAATACATAAGTCTGTATTGGAGTCAGGTAAACTGCAATAAAACACACAAAACCTATAGAATAATAAATGCTCAGGATTGACCAGCATCGTGTGAGCAACACCATAGCATTTCACATTTGTTCTCCGATGTGAATAAGGTCCTAGAGTTTTAGAGGTGAAAAACATCTTGGCAAAGTCCAGTCCCATATTTCAAACCTGAATTTGTAGGTAGTAGACTGCAGGTCAGAGAACAGTCTAAGTGTCCAAGTGTTTAAAAGCTGTTGAAGTGCTTTTGAAGTCAATCTGGAACTCCTACCTGTGACTTACAATCAGCGTTAGAGTAATGTCCCCAAGAAATGTCCTAGCTTTTCATGGACCTCTTTCCAGAAAAGAAAAAAATCAATTTCATCTCTAATTTCAAATCCAGGCTAGTCCAAAAATCCTGAAATCGTTCCAATTGCTTAAGCATAAGCTGAGTGTTTTCACAAGTTTTAGAATGATTTAGCAAAATATAATTTGTTACAAACAGGAGAAATATTGCCAGACATGGTGGCATACACTGTTAATTCCAATATAGGAGGCAGGAGGCAGATCTCTGTAAGTTCAAGGCTAGCTTGGTCTATATAGCAAGCTCCAGGGTAGCCAGGAGTGACAGAGGGAGAGGAAGGGAGAAAGGAGGAGGGCGAGAAGGAGGGACGAAGTATAAAGAAAATAAAAAGCAGAGATAGGAACAATAATCAAAAAGATAGAAAATGGCATGTTACTCAAAAATCTTACTTTGCCAAATTAAATCAGAAATTTTTATCCATCTTCTCTTTTTTGTTTGTTTGTTTGTTTTGAGGCAGGATTTCTCTATGTAGCCCTGGCTGTCCTGGAACTAGCTCTGTAGACCAGGGTGGCTTTGAACTCACAGAGATCCGCCTGCCTCTGCCTCCTGAGTGTTGAGATTAAAGGCATGGGCCACCACTACCTGGCCCAATTCTGTATTTTTTTTTTTTTGAGACGGGGTTTCTCTGTGCAGTTTTGGTGCCTGTCCTGGATCTCCCTCTGTAGCCCAGGATGGCCTCCAACTCACAGAGCTCTGCCTGCTTCTGCCTCCCGAGTGCTGGGACTAAAGGCGTGCGCCACCACTGCCTGGCTCCAATTCTGTATTTTTAAAAGCTGTGTAATACTGTCCTTCTGTGACAGAATTTTTTTTTCTGCGTAAGAAAAAAAATTTTTTCAAGCCTAAATCTACAATCTCATTGCTTTCAGAAATGTGAGCTGTGAGCAAGATAAAAATTGGAGGGAAAATTATTCTAAGAAAAAGAAAATACAGGTTTTATTCTTGGGACCCTGAACCATTAAGCAACTGTTGAAGTCACTCTTTATCGGAGCTTGCCCTTAATTGAGAGTCTTAAGCCTGGTTTCAGAACCCATTAATCATTACCCTTACAGAGTAAACAGAGGGGAATTTCCTAATCAGGTGGTATGTCTGAAAAGACTATAAAAGAGCGCTCCTCCTCGGCTCCTCATCGCTTCTCCCCCGTTGCATTGCGGCTTGGCTCGTGCAGTGCTTGCACTGACTGGTGAGCAGCTCCGTGTGATCTGAACCCGGCCCGCTAGCTTCTGGGTGCTGGGGAGAGAGCGAGCCCGGGGCTTCCAGCAGGCTAAGCAAGCACTCTGCTAACAGCTGTTTTGAACATCATTTAGGAACTAATAATGCTGTTCCCATCTACTTCTCTTCTCCTCTCCCTTTTCCTTTTTCTCCCCCTTGTCTTTCCCGGAAAACCTTGTGGGGAACACGTGACATGGAAGCTCCACTTCAGCTTTTTGGTAAATCTATTTTCTTCCCAATTTAGAGGACAGCAGAATGAGCACTAAGAAGTCTCCTGAAGAAATGAAGAGCATTTTCCAAAAATATGCGGCCAAGGAAGGCGATCCAAACCAGCTATCAAAGGAGGAGCTGAAGCTGCTGATTCAGTCAGAATTCCCCAGTATCCTGAAGGTGAGTGCACACCTGAGCAGCCAGAGGCTGCTGCCTCTGAGGGTGGGAGAGGAGAATAGCTGAGGGCCTAGGGCTGAGGACTGCCTCTGAAATACTGACCACAGCCCTGTGCGGATATGGCCACATACAACCCAGGGCCTAGCAAAGACTTAAATAGGCACTCTACCACTGAGCTCCAGCCTAAATCCACATGACTTTTGTTTTTAGAACACACACACACCCGCTGAAAACATTAACATTATAATCTGGTGTTTCCTAATTTTCTTATAATTCACAATAACTTTGCGCATGTGTTGCTGGGACTTGAACCCAGGACCTCACACATGCATGTGGAGATTTGTTGCATAGTAAAGTACATATACTTAACACTACTGAACTGTCCACATAAGAAAGGCTAGATGAGGGACTGGAGAGATGGCTCAGCAGTTAGCAGCATTTACTGCTCTTGTAGAGAGCCCAGGTTTGGGTCTCAGTAGGCACATGGCTGTTCACCCCATCTTTAACTCTGGGTTCAGGGGATCCAATGTCCTCTTCTTGCTTCTATGGGCACCAAACACCCATGGCACATATTCATACATGCAGACAAAACGCACATACTCATAAAAGTTTCTTTAAATCTTTAAAGAAATAAATCTTTTTTAAATGGATACATGATAAATTGTTAGAATTTTAACGTTTTTGAAACAGGATCTATGTAGCCCAAGCTGACCTAAAACTCACTATGCTGTCCAAGCTAACCTCAGACTCAATGCAATCCCCCTGCTTCAGCCTTCTAAGTAGTTGGGATTACAGGCTTGAGCTACCAGGTCCAATTTGAAGAATGTTTTCAGAGACATAAAGAAGTTCAGATCTCTTCCAGGACAGCCAGGGCTAAATAGATAAGCCCTGCCTCTAAAACAAAACAAAAAAGTTTAGATCTTATCAAATACATCAAAATGCAGATTATGACTATTAGAGAATAATAAATGTGCTATATATAGTGTTAAAATTTTCTAAAGAGCAAGAGGCTGAAGAGATGGCTCAGTGGTTAAGAGCACATGATGCTCTTTCCAAGAGACCTGGCTTCAGATATAGCACTCCTCTCAGGTAACTTACAACCACCTACAGCTCCAGAGGATCTGATGGCATTTACTGGGCTCTGGGAGCAACTGCACTCACAAGTACATGCCCACAGACAGATGCACACACATGCACATAAGTATGTTTTAAATGGGCGATAGGTGGTACACTCACTCATCTAATCTCAGGACTCTGGAGGCAGAGGCAGGTGGCTCTCTGTTGAGTTCGAGGCCAGCCTGGTCTACATAGTGGGTTTCAGGCTAGTCAGGGATACATAATGAGGCCCTGTTTCGAAGATAAATTTAAAAAGTAAGATAGAACCCAGTTAGGTTACATAAAACCACACCTAGCATTTTATTGTCAGTGGCAGGTGACTGAAACCTAGGCTGCCTTCTTGGAAGGAAAAATCCAGGTCCTCTAATTTCCAAGATGCGTTCCAGTATCCTATCTAAATTTTCTTTCTTCTCCTACCCCATTCTTTTTGTCTAAAACCAGGGTTCAAGTGCTCTAGACAATCTCTTTGAAGAGCTGGATAAGAATGGCGATGGAGAAGTCAGTTTCGAAGAATTCCAAGCATTTTTCAAAAAGATATCACAATAAAGAAGCCATCAAGGAGCCCCATCACCACCTACTGATTGAATCCTTTGCAATCATAAAGATCTAGCTGAGAGAGCAAGATACTGTTAATAAAGCAAATTCTAAGACATGTATCTCTTGTCTGTTGTTGAATATTATTTTAAGGTGTGTTACTTTTGTTCATGTTTCATTTGTTTAACTCTGTGAAGGTGTGTTACTGTGCCTGTGTAAAAGACCTGATGGCCTAATAAAGAACTGGCCAATAGCAAGGCAGGATAAAGAATAGGCAGGGCCGGCAGGCAGAGAGAATATGTAGAAGGAGAAAACTGGGAGGAGAGATCTAAGATCTAGGAGCTAAAGAAGGAGGAGGACTCCAGGAGCCAGCCACACAGCCACACAGCCACACAGCCACACAGCCACACAGCCACACAGCCACACAGCCAGCCATGGAGTAAGAGTAAGATTTATAGAAGTAAGAGAATGGGAAAAGCCCAGAGTAAATAGGATAATTTAAGAAAAGGAAAGCTGGCTAGAAACTAAGCCAAGCTAAGGCCGGGCATTTATAAGTAATAATAAGCCTTCGTGTGTGATTTATTTGGGAGCTGGTTGGTGCCCCCCCCCAAAAAAGAGCAAAAACCTCTAACAATACTTGTCAAATATTCACTCTTGATTACTTAGATTTTAGAGTAACCTTAGCCTGATGTACCTACTTTATTTTTCTGAATCTTTTCTTTGTTTTACATTTATTTATCTAATGTGTGTTTTTTCACACATGTACATATGAGCAAGTGCATACACCAGCAGGTCATAGTACATGTGTGGAGGTCAGAAGATAACATGAGTAGTGTGACTAGGATATCAACCTCTGGTTGTCAGACTTGGTGCTAAGTGCCTTTTTCTTCCTGAGCCATCTTGTTGTCCAAATCATATACTTTTGAGATTAAAAAGAAAAGTCGCCGGGCGTGGTGGCGCACGCCTTTAATCCCAGCTCTCGGGAGGCAGAGGCAGGCGGATCTTTGTGAGTTCGAGGCCAGCCTGGGCTACCAAGTGAGCTCCAGGAAAGGCGCAAAGCTACACAGAGAAACCCTGTCTCGAAAAAAACCCAAAAAAAAAAAAAAAGAAAAGTCATCAGACCCTATTTAAACTCAGTAGGTCATAGAAACCAAAATAAGACTTGAAATTAGAAGGGGATAGTGGAAAGAAGACAAGTTTCAGTGGGAGAGACAGAATAATGGGGGTGAAAAGAACTAAAAACCACCATATACATATATAGAACCATCAAGGAATAAAAAAAAATTTTTTTTTTTGGTTTTGATTTTTCGTGACAAGGTTTCTCTGCATAACAGCCCTAGCTGTCCTGGAACTCACTTTGTAGACCAGGCTGGCCTCAAACTCAACAGAGACCCACCTGCCTCTGGCTCCCAAGTGCTGGGATTAAAGGTGTGTGACATCACACTCAGCATTTTTTTTTATTTTAAAAGTAAAAATTCTTAAATATATATTGCAAGTATGATGGCTCATGCTTGTAATCTTAGCACTTGGGAGGTATAGGCAAAAGGACTGAGTTCAAGGTCATACTCAGTTACATAGAGTTTAAAGCTCGCTTGGGCTAAATGAGAGCCTGTTGCAGGGCATTTACCCATTAACTCCACAGTTCCCCAGAGTTTTCTTGAGTGCAGGCACTGGGAAATATTAGATAGAAGGATTTAGATTGTGGAGATAAATAGATAGAAAATACAGGATAGCCTCGAGAGGGCCTGGAACCTATTCCAACAGGGCCCTGACTGTCTCTGCCCTAAGGTATTTATAGAAATGCCAAGGGGTGGAGCAAAAGACCTCCTCCCCAGCACAGCCAAGTGCAGACCATCTCAGACACCTGCACTCAGGCCTGTGGTCCAATCATCCTCTGTATAAAGACCTGCTGGATAAAGCCACTAGGAAACCTGAAAATGGGCTCCCACAGCCATGGTAGCACTAGCCCTACCCCCAGAACCAGAGAGGCTAAAGAGATGGCTCAATGGTTAAGAGTGTAAATTACTGCTGGGCAGTGGTGGCACATGCCTTTAATCCTAGAAGTAGGTGGATCTCTGTGAGTTTGAGGCCAGTCTGATCTACAGAGTGAGTTCCAGGACAGCCAGCGTTACAAAGAGAAACCCTGTCTCAAAAACAAAAAAAGAGTGCATATGGCTCTTGCAGTGGATACAAATTCCGAGCACCCACATCAGGTGGTTCACAACTACTTGTAACTCCAGCTCTGAGGGATCCAATGCCCTCTTTTGGCTTCCTCCCAAACCTGTACACAGGTGCACATACCCACCCACAAGACACACATGCATAAATATAATTAAAAGTAAAAATAGAGGCTAGAGAGATTGCTCAGCAGTTAAGAGCACTGGCTGTTCTTTCAAAGAACCAGGTTTGGATTCCCAGCACCCACATGGCAGCTCACAACTGTCTATAACTCCAGTTCCAAGGGATCTGACACCATCTTCTGGCTTCTTTGGGCACCAGGCACATAAGTGGTGAACTGATAGTTATACATGCAGGCAAAACACCCATAGACATAAAACAAAATAAATTTCTAAAATAATGCATAAATCTAAAAGAAAAAAGTCCAGGATACTTCTACAATGTTGCCAAGGAAAATGAAAATGCTATCAAGGACTTGGAAGGAATTCTGAAGAGTCACGTAAAGCCTTCAGTCTACTTTTCTTTCAAAACAATTGTTCCTTGCTCTGAGTGCTGGCATCATTTCTAATCTCAATTCTTATTTCACCCTGTTCAATGGCTAGCAAGGAACACACTTCAAAAGCAGATACTTGTCTATAGGGCATCTCCCAACACTTACTATGCCTCTGAACAAATGACCCCTCAGGGAATAAAAGGAATATAAGAAAAAGAGGCACAAGGCTCATCACTGCAGGAATGGCCTCAGGTTGGCCAGCCTAAGGCCTTGGTTCTAGAAAACAATGTTCTAACTAATGTTCTTCAATATTTATTTTTAACTCACACTCTAAGGCCAAAATTACCATGCTCTACTTTCTGTAGCTGATACCAGAAAGGTATGTAACCGATTTCCACTTCAAAATGTAGAAACTGTGATAATGAATGGTTTCCAACTACATGGGCCTCTATAGTACCATACCCTAAGTTAAGAATCACTGCCTGCAAAGCATGGCCCTTGACTCCAGGAAAGGGTTAACCCAATGAACTTGAAAATGTAAGTTTGGGGGCTCAGACAGCTCAGTCAGTAGAGAGCTTGCTTTGCAAGCTCAAGGACCAGTGGTTGATCTCCAGAAGTCATGTGTGGAAAAAAAATTCCAATGTAGGGACACTCTTATATCTTATTGCTGGGGAGGCTGAGAGGCAGATCTCTGGGACTCACTGGCCAGCCATCCTAGCCTACCTGGTAAGTTCCAGGCTAATCAGAGACCCTACATCAACAAAAAAAAAAATAAGTGGACAAAACCTGAGGAACACTCAAGGTTGTCTTCTGGACTCCATAGTCATGTCTGTGAATGCACAATACATGCACACACACAAGTGTAAGCTAGGTATGTCCATCAAGGTAGCTACAGTCATATTCCTAGTAGCCCTGAGGAGACCAGTGGACCCCACACCTACCTAGTCTGTGCCTCTAGAGAATGGGTAGGAGGACACAGGCTAGACAGGGACAAGCAAGCTCTCTGGGGAGTTGAGTGGCAAGCATCTTTACTCTGGAAGCCCAAGTTTGTAGAAAGATCTGTTAAGAACATACAGCATGGGTGGCCACAATGGCACCAGATACAAAATGAGTAGGACTTTATGACTTGGGGGGCAGGGTGGGGAGATGGAGGAAATACCTTCAATTCTGTTTGGACATGGGCTAAAATATATATTCTCAGCTGGTGGTACATACCTGCAATCCCAGCAGTTAGAAGGCTAAGGTGGGAGGATCTAGAGGTGAGATCAACCAGAGCTACACAGCAAGATCTCGCCTCAAACAAAGCAAAACAAACCAAAAACCTGACCTACACACCAGAAATTAACACTCCCTGCTTCCTGAGAAAGCGATGTGACTAGATGCCTTCTGCTCATATTTCCATACCTTGTACTCACTCTTTCATGCCTTCCTGACATGATGGAATGAACCCCCTCAAACTGGAAAGCAACATATACCCTTCTCTTAACGTTGCTTCTTGTCATGTATTAGTCTCAACACAGAGAAAAGTAACCAAGACGGTTTCACATTAGGAGGGAGCAGCAGGAATGAGAAAGCCACTTCTCACTTGGTATCTTATTTTGTTTGGACTTTTGAACTTTCAAAAAGAAAAATGAGGGAGATGATGAGATTGCTCAGCGGCTCAAGGCTGTTAAACCTGATGCCCCGAGTTTGACCCCCAGGACCCACACGGCGGAAAGAGAACTAACTTCTGCAAGTTGTCCTCTGGCCTTCACCTGTGTCATGGGGTATGTGTGCGAGCACGCACACAGGCACACACACAAAATAAATGTTTAAAAACAATACTCTTCAATTAAAAGAGAATAATTTTTAATTGCTGAGTCATTGATTTTCATGACAAGCCTCTCTGCCTTCCATCCTTTCAACAGTCAGAAAATAAAACGATCTTAACTTTGAGAGTATACTTGTGATTTTATGATTACAGAAGTTTCCCCAATGATCAGACCACGGAAATCAGTGTTGTGTATTCAAAAAATTAAGCAGCTCCTGGAAACACTTGCTGCCAAGCCTGATGACCTGGGTTCAATCCCCAGGATCTATATGGTGAAGGGAGGGAACTGACTATTGCCTCCCACACACATAAACCCAACAGGGAAGTAAACAGGTAGGTAGAATAACTGATTGACTGACTGATAGAAAACGAAGCAGAAGAAGAAAAGGAAAAAAAATCAAACAAAAAAGCAAACAACAGTTTAAAAAAGAAAACAGCCTAAACAAAAGTCATCGAAGAAAACTCTTAAGAATTGTGATTAGGAATCGGTTGGTGTTGGTGCACGCCTTTAATCCCAGCACTCAGGAAGCAGAGGCAGGCGGATCTCTAAGAGTTCAAGGCTAACCTGGTCAACAAAGTGAGTTCCAGGACAGCCAGAGTTACATAGTGAAACCCTGTCTCAAAAGAACAATGATAATA